AGGGGAGCCCAGGGAGCCAGCCCTGGAGGCCCCCATCCCACATGCTTCGCCAGACGTGGCCAAGCCTGTCAGCCACAGAAAGGATCAGGATGCCCCTGGCCACCCTCAGGCAGGCGAGGTACGGGGCAGGACCTGGAGCCCCTCACCTCGATGCTCCTCTCCCCCAAACACAGTCCTGGGTGGCTGTCACCCCTCGAGCCTTCTGTGAGGATCCGCTCTGGCCCTGCCTCTGCACTTGCAGCCAGGAGCACCCGGTTCCCAGACAGCTCGAAAGACAACTGGGCATCTGGGTGCAGGACATGCTCTTCCTACATCACACTGGGAGCCCTGGGTGGGGGCGTCCTGTGGGAACCCCGTGGTTAGAGCTGAGCCCAGCAGCACCTGGTTTCCCCTTTGCACTGCTGCCCAGGCTGTGCCCTCCACCTGGCAGGTCCTTCCAGATACACATGGCTCCCCGGTCCCCAGAGAGCTGTCACCGTCGCCACTGTGGAAGCACTCGGAGCTGTAGCTGACCGTAGCGGGCAGGGGGCACTTTGAGACCAGGGTCCTAGGCCTTGGGCCACCTCCAGGACCCTCCCATCTTTACCTTTGGGAAACGGCCCGTCCTTCAAGGCGTGACCCCAGAAACCTCCAAGCTGAGCTGCCCTCCATCAGCAGGGACAGCCCACCCAGGGAGAGCTCTCAGCCCAAGCCGGGGGCTTCCGGGGGAGAGCCTGCACTGTGGGAGGGGGACTAGGGTGGGGTCTGTCCCGCTTGAACGCTGGTGGGACACAGGCCTTGCATACAGCTCCAGGGGGGCAAGGGAGACAGGCGTGGGGGGCTCCCTACATGCCCTGGAGCTCTGACCACAACTATTTGAGAATAGGGTCCTGCTACTTTGAACTTTTCAACCGAGCCTGTGCCATGAGCAGGCTGGGCTTTCCCTCCATCCCCAAGGAGCTGCTGCCCTTGAGCAGAGCACTCGGTTCTGAGCCTGCTTCCTGGCTGGTAGGCGGGTTAGACAGACAGAGGCATGCCTGCAGCACCGAGGGCGGAGGCTCACGGGGTGGGGAGAGATCCTCAGACACAGTAGGTAGTCCCCACATGGCCAGCAGAGGCCCACCTGAATCCCCGCCCGGTCTCCCTTCATTTTGCTCAGGCCGCACCCCTTCTCTGGGCCTCAGCCCCCAACGGCACCCCAGGGCCAACTCCAGCCAGTCCCCCACCCCCACCATCTCCAGGGTCCACACCCTGCAGCCTCTCACTGGTTCTCAAACTGCCTTCTGCTCAACTTTCTAAAACCAAACACATCCTCCATGCCCCAGGCACCTCCCCTCCCACTCCTGCCTCTGCTCCCCCATCTGCTCCAGCTCTGGGCCACGGAGCACCTGCGGGTCTACCTGTCTCCCCCTCCCTCACCTGCTGGCTTCCCCCACCTCAGGACTCCTCTCCAGCCTGCCTGACTCCAACACCCCACACGAATTCTCCGAAAGGCCCCTCAAGGACCTGAAGGGGACATCCCAGCTCCCTCAGTGTGGCAGTCCCGGCTCCTCTCTGGCCCACCCACTAGAGTCTGGAAGCCCAGCCGGGTGAGCTGCGGGGCGGCCCCCACAGCCCCACCGTCTCTCATGAGCTGGACTGACCCTTCATCTGACAGCCCTGCCCCAGCCACCTCCTCCTCAGTTCCCACCCACAGACAAAGGGTTTCCGAGAGCTCCACATCTTCCTGTGGACCCAGCTCCGGAAACAGCACGCAGAGCCTGCTGTCCTCCGGGCTTCTGGGAGCAGAGCCCCAGGCACATCTGCTGCCTTGCTCCACGTCCTGAAGGGGCCAGCGTGATACAGGCCAGAAGGCCACCCGGTGGCCACAACAAGCCCGCCTGGACCTGCTTGGGACCCACCTGCACCCTGTGCAGGTGCCCCCTGCCCTCCAGCGAAGAAGCCTTTCCTGCATCAGGGACCGGACAGACAGCCTTGGCAATGACACCTGTCCCCCAGCAGAACCTAAAGACCCATCCCCCCACCAGAAAACATGACACCGCCTGGGACAGAGGCCTCCCCGGGGCTGCCGATACAGGTGACCCCAGGACGTTAAGGACAGCTGTGCGGAGATGCCCTCGAAACCACAGCCACACCAGCCCGGGAGAGGCGGCCTAACACCAACGTGAGTGACAGAACCCGCGTGCTGAGCCCAACACCACACAAGAACCCTGGCCACTGAAAAGATGCAATAAACAGTGTAAGCTGGACCATTCTTGCCACCAGAGGGGCGTCCGGCTGGGCAGAGGGGGCAGCCCCGCCCACACCTGCACTCCACACTGGGCAGCGGCCCCCCACCCGGCCTCTTATTCTGGAAGTCCGCATCTTGGGGCAGAGCAGCAGGCCCACCTGCCAAGGGGCCCTGGCTCGGGACCTGCCGGGCTGAGAGGCCCAGCGGTCGCCCAGCTGACTCCCTCCCTGACCGCAGCTTCCCCTTTGCAGGACTTGGGCAGAGCTCAAGGGAAGAGCAGGGAGGACCCAGGCATGCTGTCGTCCAGGGAGGGAGGCAGCACTTGGAACTACAGTCGTTCATTCTTCCACTGAGGTCTCCTGGCAGAAAGCCTAGCCCCAGATAAGGTCAGACGTTTATCCCCAGAGCTAAAGAACAGGCCTGGGAAACTGCAACTCTCTTGGCATTTGACGCCGAAGACCCGCCAGCAGGCCCGGTGCACCCACACCCCAAGGCCCCACGTCCACCAAACTCCAGATGACCCTTCAACAGAAGGGACAGAGAGACAGCACCAAGAGGAGAGCCTCCCCCAAAGCCCTCCTGGGATGCAGGTGTTCGGTGAAGCCAGAAGGAACACGGGATGGACAGACCCCCCCCCCAGGGAGGGGGCCTCAGCTAGACCAAACGCCGACTCCCCTCAAAGGGGAGAGGGACCCGAGGAGGAAGGCTGCTAGCTTTGTGTGCCACTTGGAGCTGCTTCTAAACATCACATGGCAACGTGTTGTTGACACACACGCGCAGCATAGCCTTTTGTATTCATTACTGTTAATTACAGTGGAAACCTCCTGTAATTAACTGTACAACAGGATAACTCGATGAAGAGTAAGGAGACCAGCCCCTGCCATGGAGACGGGCGAGCACGGCGCACGTATAATTCATTGCTGTCACCACTCACACGACGATGCTTCCTTATAATCACATTTTATTGGTACGATAATTAGATTATTTCACTGCTTCCCACATTCTGCTGCCCCAGGTCCCTCCCCCACTGAGGATTTCACCAACTACAGTTGTTCCTTGTAGGAAACATGCGTATTTTGAACTCAGATGAACACCGGCAGTCTGCCACCTCCTCCTTGAACCCCGGGCCACACCACCCCCACTCCCAACAGCGCTGCCCTGCTGCCAGGGGCCCCTCGGGGCCTCAGCAGTTGGCACCCAGAGTGGGAGAGGGGCAGCTCCCCCCGCCCCCTGCCAGGTCCCTTCCTAGGCGCTTTGCCTTAGTTACATCACAGCCCCTGCCCTCCCTGGAGAGCCCAGGGCCTGGCCCACTTTCCTCCCTAACACCACCTCCTAGCTCCACCTCTGTGCCACCAACGGAGGCTTGGGAAGGGCCTGCGGCCTCCCTGGCCAGAGCAGCTCCCTCCTGGGCCCCCACCCTGCACCAGCGAGGTGGGGCCAGCACTGCTGCACCCTCCTCCTCCCTTCCTCCTCTCCCCTGCCGGCCCCAGGTCTAAGGAACTTCCCAGAGAGACAGGGAGAAGCAGTCAGTGCCAACTGGACCTCTGGGCTGCCAAGAAGGCCCATCCTGGGAGAAGAAAGAAAATGGCTGAGCCTGGCCTCCCACAAAGCCACTCTGTGAACGCCTGGCCAGCTGGATGAGGGGATGGCTGCTAGGCTGGGACCTAGCCTCATCACCAGAAAGACAGCCAGGACCAGCCGAGGAGCTCCCTCCTCCCACAGGCTAGGGTTTTGCAATCTATGGCCTGGGATCCCGAATAGGGCCCAGTAGCAGCCTCCCTGTCCCTCCCCTGGGGCAGTGCCCTGTCGCAGACGTTCCAAACAGCGGCTAGGAGTGCCAGGCGCCGTCCAGCCCCCCGAGTCGCCTGGGCACTCTCCCACTCTCACCGTGGAGGAAGGCCCGAGCCTGGCCAAGGTGGCCTGGTCGGCCCGCAGGGTGCATAGGGCCACCTCCCTGCCCGCCTGCCTGCCCGCCGCCGCCGCCGGGAGTTGGGGGTCGCGGCCGGGGGCGCGCGGCCCGGGGCGCAGCTGCTCGGGCAGCACGCCTATTAGCAGGGCCGCGGCAGACGGCAGATGGGCGCCCGCTCGGCCCCCTCCTCCCGCGGCACAATGGGCCCGGTCGCTCCGGCGCACAATGCGGCCAGGGCCGCGCACCTGCAGCCGGAGCCGAGGGGCGCTGGCCCGGCCCGGCCCGGCCCATGCGCCCCCGTCAGCGCCGCGTGTCCTTGGGCCGCGCCCGGCCGACAGCAGCCGCACGGCCTGCGGGCTCCGCGGCGGGACCCGGCGCCCAGCTGCCCATTGTTCGCGGCCGCCGGCCGGAGCCGCGGGCCGGGCCTACAGCTCCCGGCTCGGGACGACCTCCTTCCGGGCCTTCCCCCACCCCCCGCCACCGCTCGGCGCGCAGTCAGCACGGCCTCCCCGGCGGCGGGCCTGTGCGCCCCTGCGCCCCTGGTCCTTCCCGGCGCCCGGGCCCCATCCATGTCCCCATCCCCTTCGATGTCCCCGGTCCCCTGGTTCCCCCCCACACACACACGTGTCCCCGGGCCCCCTCGGTGCCCCCGGGCCCCACGGACCCCTGGTCTCCCCGAAACCCCCCGTCCCCCGGCGCCCCGGTCCCTCCAGCCCCCGTTCTCCATCGACGTCCCCGGTCCTCTACCGCCCCCCTCCTGTGTCCCTGGTTCCCTACCCCCGTTGTCCCAGGTACCCTCGGTGCTCCCGCTCCCCCCGGACCCCGGGTCTTCCCGAAAGTCCCGGCCGGCGGGCCCCCCCGGCGCCCCGGCCCCGCACGCACCTGTCTGCCCCTTGCCCAGCGTCTTCTCCAGCCGGTAGGGCCCCACATACTGCGCGTGCTGCGCCCCGCCGCCGTCCTTCCCCGTCGATGTCATCGCTCCCGGGCCCGGCGCCGGCGAGGTGGGAGCCCCGGGCGGGCGGGCGGGCGGCGGCGGCAGGGAGGGGCCGCGTCCGTCCGCGTCCGTCCGTCCGTCCGTGCGCTGGGCCGGGTCGGCGGCGCCCCGGCGGGCCGCGCTCGCTCCGCGCCCCCCGCGCCTCCCCGCGCCGCCGCCCCCCGCGCCC